GCATCAGGCTCCTTGCTCAGCAGGGAGCCTGCTTTCTCCCTCTCCCTCTGCTGCTCCCCCTGCTCACTCTCTCTCGCCCACTCTCTCTCTCTCTCTAACAAATAAAATATTTTTTAAAAAAATAAAATTTAAAAAATAGAGAAAGTGATAGTGGTAATATTTGTTGAACACTCATTATGTACCAAGCACTATTATATGTGCTTTACATATATTATTTAATTTTCTATGATCCTATAAAATGATGCTATTATTATTACCCCCCCATTTTATAGAGAAGGAAAATGAATCACAGAGAAGTTCAGTAACTTGCCCAAAGTCACCTAGCTAATAATAGGTAGTAAAGCTATTCAAACCCAGAGAATCTAGCTCCAGAGCTCTTTCTCTAAAATGTTCAGATAAAAGATATAACCTGATGATTGAGCAGCTCTTTTAAAAAGTATTTTTCCTATTTAAATATATAATGTTTATTCCCTTTTTTTAAGATTTTATTTATTTACTTCAGGGGGAGGTAGACAATGGGGGGCAGAGGGCAGAGGGAGAAGCAGGCTCCGTTGGGCAGGGAGCCTGATATGGGGCTCGATCCCAGGACCCTGGGATCATGACCTGAGCCGAAGGCAGACGCTTAACGACTGAGCCACCCAGGCGCCCCTATGCTCCATGTTTTTAAGCAATAAAGTGATAACTATAAGTTTAAGTTACATTGTTTCATTACTGATCTTCATTGATCAAAATTCTGAACTGTAGTATTTCTCTAAATCCATTTCTTAAAGTATCAAAAGATATACACAAGAATCCTTATATTTTAGAGATAGTACTGAAATGTTTACGGATGACATGACCTCAGAATTGCTTTGAAATATCCAGGGCTGGAGTAGGAAAGTGGGTGGGGTAAACGTGAAACTAGACTGTCCATAAATTAATCACTGGTAAAGCTTGGTGACAGGTTTGGGAGGTTCCTTAAACTATTTTCTCTAGTCTTGTTTATATTTAGTATTTTTATATCAAAAAGTTAAGGGATGTATAGTTTTCATGTTGGCAATGCTGCCATAAAAAATATTTTAATAGAGAACTTAGTCATAGCAGCTCTAAAGTTTATGAAAAATTTTAATAACCACAAATTATGTTAGATCCTAAGCCTCCTTGCTAGTTATTACCCATACATTGAGACAGCACCACTCTCATTTTACCAAATCAAATAACTCCGTAGATAGCATCTAATTTCAAACACTAGAGTTTATAAAGAGATAGTCATTAAGAGCAGCCACCATTGATAGGACAGATTAGTTGACCTTCACTAACCAGTTTTTTAAGTTTCCAAAATACAGTATTAAAATCTCTGTGCAAATAGTAAACACTTCTCATGCTTTAATAATTTAAAGTTTTTGATTTGGGGGAGGGAGAAAAAATAAAGTGCTTGATTTGTATATTTTCTGAAAATTCCTTCTTTATTCAAACTACCTCAAAGAAGCCAAAGGCTGGGGGCCTATTGCTTTAGTTAACCTGAGCCACCAACTCCAGAATCATAGATTTCAGCATTAGGAAGGGCCTCAAAGGGACCTAGTGCAACACAGGGATGAGGACATGGACCTAAAAGTCAACATCTAGTTAGAGCAAGAACTCCAAAGAGAAGTCAGGTATCCCTTCATCCAGTGTTCAGTTATTATTAGCCAGTACCTCACTGCTTCACTGTTGCACTGCAGAGCACAGACAAAAACAAACAAACAAAACCCCTGCTTGATTTAGAAGGCTGTAATACTGAAGTATTTCTAAATTTTTTCCTATCTGTTCCTACTTTTAAGCACATAAAAAAATCAGAACATAAGATTAAATGGGGGAGTAAAATGTCCCCAAAATATTAAGTATTAAAAGACTCAAGAGGGTTTAACAACTAAAATATAAAATACTTTATAAAATCTTCATTAAAAAATATTTAACTAATACTTACCTATGTCTATTCCCCAATTCTTGTAACTACCAACTGTTTTTTCTCTATCCTTCTTCTCTTTGTCACAAAGACACTGTTGCCAGCCTCTTCTTCAAACTTCTATGACTTCTTCCTATTACTCTGGACTGATCTTTCTTCACCGTACTCTTTTCTGGTGACCATCCTACTTCTGCCACCTAAAACTCTCCAGAACTCAGTCCTCAACTCTCTACCTAAATCCTTTCCAGACCTATCTTTCTAAAAGAGCACCTCTATTACATTTCATCCCAGTTCAATAACCTTTGATGGTTCCATACTAACTACCATATCAACTGTGAATTATTCTTCCTGGCTTTCAAAGCCCTCCAGGTCTGGTTCTTCCTACTTCCCTTTCTAACTTCATGTCATTCTCCCTGTCTGTAATACACCTGCTTTCCTCCTCCAACATATCCTATATCCTCTAAGACCAGATCTAGTCTTGCCATCTCTATGAAGGTAGCCTTTTTTTTTTTTTTTAATATTGTATTTATTTATTTGACAGGGAGAGACACAGTGAAAGAGAGAGCACAAGCAGGGGGACTGGGAGAGGGAGAAGCAGGCTTCCTGCCTAGCAGGGAGCCTGATGCAGGGCTCGATCCCAGGACCCTGAGATCACGACCTGAGCCGAAGGCAGACACTTAACGACTGAGCCACCCAGGCGCCCCTCTATGAAGGTAGTCTAACCAGAACCACCCAATCCCCAATTTCTCTCTCCTAAATTCTTATCCATCATAGTTGGCACCAAACAACATTTAAGTCTGTATCCAACCCAGGATGCCTGGGTGGCTCAGTTGGTTAAGCGTCTGCCTTCGGCTCAGGTCATGATGATCCCAGGGTCCTGGGATAGAGTCCCACATCCGGCTCCTTCCTCAGCGGGGAGCCTGCCTCTCCCTCTGCCTGCCGCTCCCCCTGCTGGTTCGCGCTCTCTCTCTCTCTGACAAATAAATGAATAAAATCTTAAATAAAAAAAAAGTCTGTATCCAACCCAACCACTTGATTCTAGTAGAAAATATATTGAAAAACAACAAGAACAACAACAACAACAACACTAATTTTAACTAAACTGATCAAACTTCTCTCAGTCTAGAACAGAAGGGCATGTTAAGGAACACTATGGGAATGAAATCTGCAAAGTCCAGACTGAGGGAAACAAGGTAAACAACTTGGTTTCTTCAACAGATAAGTTGGCGGGAATGGGAGTTAGGGGAGATGGAGGCTGAATTTGTTGGCTAAAATAGCCTTAAGAGATATATCAACTGTTTGCCATGAGAACCTTATATAGATCTTGATTAAACTGAAAAATAAGACTATAACATTTGACATTTATGAAACAATTGGAAATTTGAACACTGTATCATTTACATTAAGGAATTATTGTTAATTTCTTTATACTTCATTGATATTGACATTGTGATTAAGTGTCCTTATCTTTTCAATAATTTTTTGATAATTTTTCTTTTATTTATATCCTTATCTTTAAGATAGTTTTTCATCTGAAAAATTCAGATGAAATGGAAAAATAGGGGTGCCTGGGTGCTTCAGTTGTTAGGCGTCTGCCTTCAGCTCGGGTCACGATCCCAGGGTCCTGGGATCGAGCCCCACATTGGGCTCCCTGCTCAGCGGCAAGCCTGGTTCTCCCTCTCCCACTTCCCCTGCTTGTGTTCCCTCTCTCGCTGTGTCTCTCACTGTGAAATAAATAAAAAATCTTAAAAAAAAAAAAAAGAAATGGAAAAATATGCAAATTAACAAATAAAAACAATCTATAGTTCCTGTCTCACAGTCTCATGCACAATCTAAATTTTACATTATATGGCAAAAATGGACAGGGAAAGAAACAACAAATGTTGGAGAGGTTGTGGAGAAAGGGGAACCCTCTTACACTGTTGGTGGGAATGCAAGTTGGCACAGCCAC